TTACCTTAATTCAATTTTCGCAATTTTCTTTCCAGATCTAGTGTTCGCATATTTACTTTAATCCAATTTTCATAGATGCACCCAGATCTAATTTTCAAAGACGGTCCGTAAGGAAGGGTCTTTTCTCCATAAAGTTTTCATATTGTCAATAGTTTTATTTATTTTCTTTCAAGGCAAATGTACCTTGATTCTGAAGGTTCTTGATACCTAGGAAAGGTCGCTTTGCCAAGAAAAAAACCGGCCTAAACACGATGAAATGATGCTGCAGAAGAACTCTTCTTTTTCACCTTTTTCTTACCATCCTCGGTTTACCCCTCTTCAAAGCTTGCTCTTCACAAAAATCTCTACGTGCTTCTTTTAAGTCTTTGTTGTTCCATAGTCTCTTACCTCACAACAGAGAGGGGCAACTGTCAGCACCCGATTTTTGCTTGATCTACTGCTTAAACCTTGAAGATACCCCAAACACCCGATTAGACCCTTCCGACCCCTCCAAAACACCAAAAAAAACCCAAATTTCACCCTAAGAGCCCTCAGATCCACTGTTAAACCTGCCCGATACCTATCCGATGGCCCTTGATCGACCCTCACTTACACCTCAACCATTTGATCAAACCTCACCATTAGACTCCAGACATACTAGAACACCTTCCCATGAATTTTCAACCCTAGTTTCCCCCAATTTACCCTCAATCATACCAAGATTCCATTTTAAAACTCTAGATTGATTGGATTCCAAATCCACCCGATTTGGGCCCAGTTGGCCCAATTTAATCTTGCCAATCACATCAAACTACCCAAAAACCCTACCCTATGAAATTTCATTCATTTTCCCCTTTACCGAACATAGATTCCATTCCGAGGTCCTATATTAGCCGAATCAAGCCCTTCCTAGATCTGCCTGATCTGGGTCCAGTTGGGCCAATCTGACCTCACTAATCAACCCAGAATCCCCGAAAACCCCACTGTTCCAAATTTTAGCCAAAAGTACCCATATTTACCCTTCCATCTAAAAGGATTTCATTTCGGCCAATCTTATAGCCCATAGACACAAAACCCCTCTATAGTCAGACCCATCTCAACCCTCCATTTTCCAACCCAAAAATCCCTGCCATTGAACTCGAAACCTGGCATGACAAAATACAGTTTCACCAACTTTCCCAAAATTACAAAAGTACCCTCCCACCAAATTACCCCCGACCTAATTCCCAAATTACCCTACCAAAATTACCAAAATGCCCCTCATTCCCCAAATTATCCAAATAGCTCTCTAAACCTGCCCCGAATACTCTTTGCCATATTACCCAAATTACCTCCGACCTAATTCCCAAGAAATTACCAAATTACCCTCAACCAAAATTACCTAAACTACTCCTTTGACCAATTCCCAAGTTACCTTTAACCTGATTCCCAAAAATGCCCCTCCTTCCTAAATTCCCAAAATACCCTCGACCAAAATTACCTAAACTACCCCTTTTGATCAATTCCCAAATTACCTCTGACCTAATTCCCAAGAAATTACCAAATGCCCTTAACCAAAATTACCCAAATTACCCCCTTTGCCTAAATTACCAAAGTGCCCCTCCAAAACCACCAAAATCCCCTTGACCATAATTACCCAAATTACCCCTTTAACCTTATCCCAATATACCCTCTCACTTAATACCCCTCCTACCAAAATTACCAAAATACCCTTCTTGCCAAAATTGCCAAAATACCCTCCTTCCAAAATCACCAAAATTACCTAAACTACCTTTTTGACCAAAATTACCAAAATACCCCCTCACACCAAATTACCGATTTATCCTAAAAAATATGAAATTACCCTTTGGACCCCGAAACCCCCTTTAAACTCTAACTTACTGAAACTCCCCTCTCCATCTTGAGAGTTAGCACAACCTTCCCCTCCCTCCTATTATAAATAGGAGGTCGTAAGAGAACAAAAGGGGAGAGCGGTCGAGCTAAGAAAGGAGGTTTGAAACGATGCTGAAACGAAGAAGCTGCTTAGATGAATGTTCGAAAGAGGGAGGTGGAACTGAGGAGTTGAGAAGAGAGAGCTCGAGTGGGAGAAATCTGAGAGAGAGCTCAAGTGAGAGAAATCTGAGAGAGAGCTCGAGTGAGAGAAGAAAATTAGAGGGGGAGAGAGAGCTTCGAGAGAGAGAAAGAGAGTTGAGAGTTTCGAAGGAGAAAGGGGTCGGACTTTGACAGAAAATTTAGAGAGAAAGAGGGAGATTTCTGAAAGAGGGGGTCCGTGACAGAGAGAAAAGTCGAAGGAGAAGCTGGGAAAGGGGGTCTGTTTACTCTCGCCGTTCTCTTGTAAAAAACTGAAGGTTGTCGAATGGGAGGTCGAGAGAGAAAGCTCTAAGAATCGAAAGTCGTTAAGTTGCCGGAGACGCTATCCTGCCTATCGTGGCTGCCCATTGCATCATCAAATTTCTCAGGTCATCGTTAGTACTTATTCAGTGACCGTCCGAGCCAGTCAAAGTTCCTAAATCAGCAAGCGTCAATTGTTTCTGGCCATAAGAGTTAAAATGTTTTACGTCATCCTCTTGATCTTTATTGGCTTTCTGTTTTTATAGTTCTTTTTCTCAGTTAGTTTTTGCGCGTTGAGGTTAAGTTTGGAGGTGAGAATCGGGGTTTTCTTTACAGAGGTTGGAGCATTTCTCTGTTCTCTTCAGACCAATCGGCTGAGTCCAAAGGTGTGGGTCTGATAGAAAAAGGGTGAGAATTCATCCTTTTGCTCAGACCCCTGCATCCAAAAGGGGATTGGTCTGGATGAAGGAGAGAAGTTCCCGAATCCTCTTGAATTACTAAGAACCCCGGCTTCTCACATCCAATTCAAAGGAAGTATGGAAATCAGCATTGACACTGATAAGAGAGAGGGGTGCCTAACCCCTAGTATAGAATCATTGTAATCATAAAGGATTTACAAAATTTAAATACAGGAGGCCTATCACTCCCAGTTACACATTCTGATGGGTGGCGACTCCACTGCCGGATATTTCTGACGTTCACAAGCTCCACATACTAGGGGTGCTCATAACCAAACCATGGGCCTTTTTGTAATCGAATCAGTACCACTGGATTTTTGGAAAATCGGATCAAAACCGAACCGAAGCCAATTGATTAACCATTAGTTCTATTTATCGGTTTTTTAGTTTTTTAATTTTTATAATATATATTATAAAAATGTATACAAATATATAATAAAAATTTTTAAATTTATATAAAATAATAAAAAATATATCATATATTATAAATATATATAATGCATATTTATTAATTTATTATATATATATAATATACATAAATATATTTAAAATATATAGAAATAAATATATACCGATTGGTTTGGTTATTCGTCAATTTTCTATATTGGTTAACCGAAATTGAACCGGTACCTTTGATTTTTTTAAAAACACTGAACTGAAACTGAACCAATCGGTTCGGTTAACTGATTTTTTGGTTCAGTTTCAGTCAATTTGGTTTTTCAGTTTTTTTTTTTTTTTTTTTTGGCTCACCCTACCACATAACTCTTTAGGACTCCTTTCTTTTCCAATATCCACCATAAGACCTCTTTAGTGACTCATATTTTTTTCCTAAATCAATGAAAACTATATAAAGATTTATCTTCTCCTCTCTAAACTTATAAGTCAAACCTCTTATTAGAAATATAGAATTTATAGTTCATCTCCCTAGTATGGGTGCAAGTTGGATTGGCCCAAGTTAGATTTTATTCAAATTTTGACAAAACCACAACCCAGGCCTGCTGAAGCTACACCTATACTCCTTAGCATAAACCCAAATTGGTATTCTGATATACTTATCACATGTCATAACCTTTTCTCAATTATTCTCTCAAAGTTTCATAGTGTGGTTAAAGAGTTTAATTTCTTGATAATTATTACATCATTGCGTATTGCCTTTGTTTTTAAATATGGACATCATAGGGCTCTTTCTCCACTAATACAATATCTTATTTGCTTTCTTTATCTTATAAATAGTTTAATTAACCATAATAAGCCTATCTTCATATACCTTTCACACTTTTATTGGGATACCATCCGATTCTGATGCCTTTTCCTTCTTTGTTTTGTGTAGAGCATATTTCACTTTGGTAACTTTAATTTTATGAAAGTATGTGTTATGTTCATTACTGATAGAGTTACTAACCCCTCCACACACACCCCCTGCATATTATTCATTTAATAACTTTTGAAAATAGTTTTTCCATCTTGATTTTTTGATCTTTTGTCAAGACTCTTTGATCCTCCTTTTTTTTAAATGCATTTAATATAATTTGAATCTTTACATTTTCTTTATTCAAACTCAAATAAATGAATATGTTGCATCAAATTGATACCCAATACTAAATCTCATAATCATACATTCTAACAGTTTTTCAATCTTTGAATTATTATTTATTTGGGATTATCACATACAATACACATGCCCTTTTACTAACAGTTTTCCAATCTTTGAATTATTATTGATTTGGAATTATCACATACAATACAGATGCCCATTTACAACTAAATATGCCCTGTAACTTTGATTATCTACATTTATTGGCCTATGCTACTTGGGCTGTTTCCACACAACACTTTTCCATACAGCCATGCCTTCAACATTATTACCATTTCACAAAGCTCATCATATTGACTATCATGCCCTGTAGGGAGAGTCCTTTAGATAGGGACAACATAGACTATCGAATGTAGACAGAAAACTTTGGATGTCCAAGTTTCTTAGCCTCAGCTATCAATATATATATATATATATATATATATATATATATATATATATATCAATTTCGTGGAGCATTTAGACTTTAGGGGTGATCATTTCCAACACAGCCAACCTGGCCCGGGCTCAACCCCGGCCTGCAATAAAAAATACACTTATATATAGTAATAATATTTCATATTATACAAATTGTATCATATGTTTTATAGGTATATTATATGTAATAATACAAAATATTATATTTTATATTTGTGAAATAGGGCCAAAGCCTGACTTGGTGTCCGACTTACATTTGAGGCCCAGGTAGGGTCTGGACCTGGGCCTAGGCTATTGCTAAGCCCACATGGTCATCCATAGAGTCAGCCGAGTTCGCATTTCCTGTGACCCTGGTCGCTCTCCTAAAACCCCGACCCAAGAAAGCTGGGGGTGGATTTCTTTCAATTGCTTTCTTAAAAAGGGAGAGAAAATGGTTACTAGAGTCCGGAGAAATCGGGGCATGGGATCTCTTCAAAAGGGGAGGAGAGGAGCCCACCCATGGGGGTTCTCCAGGGGATTGATTGTAATCTTTCTCTCGCGCTCCCTCGTTTCCCTGGATGCCTCACCAGTGTTCAGGGTCTCGTCGTCGTCAAATGGTATCGTTACCAGTTTCATACATTCTCCCCCCCCCTCTCATTCTTTTCACTTACTTCTCCGTCTGATTTTCATCTCTGATAACTGTTTCTTTCTTTGCAGTAAGTCGTGGTGATCTTGGAGCGGAGGTGCGAGGGAACACATTGTACATTTGTTGGTAATAAATGATGTCCATTTTAATCATGATTTGTTCTTTTGACATCCAAATTAATTTGCTTCTTTAGATTTCTGGTTATTTTTGAAGGAAATGATTTGGAGAGTTTAATTATAAAAAGAATTATAATAGTGGGTCAAAAACTCAGGTCCTTTTAAGAAATGTGACAAAAAAATGGAAATTTTTGGTGTTGATTTCCTTGGGAACCACCAAATTTCCAAGGTTGGGGGAACCCCCATGGCAAAGAAAGTGGGGCTGAAATGGTGGGAAAGATTCAAGGACTTACACTTTGATACAAAATAGAGAGTGAGACCGGGTTCGTATTAGCAAGAATTTAAGGGCAAGCTGAGTTGAATTTAGTTGGTTGTAGGACGGTAGACCCTCTACCAATATATGCAAAAAGCACTTGCACAAACAAGATTGCTTGAGCAAGAACTCTCAGCCATCTCATATGCTTGAAGTTGGGGCATAGCTAAATTGCAAAGAGCATTCACTTTCTGTCTCTGTAACTGGGTTCTCTTCCCTTTACTCTTGGCAGATAGTGCTACAACAGACCTGGTGCATGTTCATCTCTTTTCCTGAGGCAAAAGGTTTAAGCACAATTGAAGCAAGCAAATGACTTAGTTCACTAATTACTGTTAATGATTGTATTGTGACTTTGATCAAGTCTTTTTTCTCTTTCTTTAACTTTGATCTTACTTGCAGACTTGTGATGGGGAATTACCCCAGGAAAACTCACCCAAATGGGTTCCTCTGACATAAGTTGCACCACCCATTTTTGCCATTCCCAACTGAACGAGTATCTCTCAGATGGCTATAGCCATCAATCACCACCATGGATTCAAGCCATTTTCCCGGTCCCCGAGATGCAGACTCCACTCCTTCACACAACTGGACTTCAACTTGCTCGAACTCGACCAAGCACTCGACCAGGCCAAACTTGCTTGCTCATTAAAGCAATCGTTGGCACCCACTAACTTCCACAAAAGCTTCTCCACACCCTGCCTGCCCCTCACCCCCAAGGTGGAGGAGGATGCCGATAATGGTCCCAGGGTTGAGATTGTTGCAGGGCGAGGTGCCCCAGGAGTGCGTGCCCTTGTAGTTGAATCTGCCATAGCAATGGCCTCTGGTGTGGACCCCGTGCCAGTCACAGGTGGGCTTGGAGGGGCTTACTTCTTACGCAATCGCAATGGTGACAACATCGCTGTGGCAAAGCCCATCGACGAGGAGCCATTTGCAGTAAACAATCCAAAAGGCTTTGCAGGCAGGATACTTGGTCAGCCTGGCTTGAAACGCTCAGTTCGAGTCGGCGAAACTGGTATCCGTGAAGTGGCAGCTTACCTCCTTGACCACGGTGGCTTTGCTGGAGTTCCCCCCACAACGCTCGTCAAGATCTCGCATGTCACATTCCATGTCAATCGATCAACAGCAGCAGAAACAGTGGAGCTTCCTAAAGTGGCATCACTTCAGCGTTTTATTGATCATGACTTGGATGCAGGAGAGCTTGGGCCATCTGGTTTCTCAGTCTCTTCCATTCATCGCATAGGCATTCTTGATGTGAGACTCCTAAACCTTGACAGGCATGCAGGGAATATATTGGTAAAGAAATATGGAGGCTATGTCAATGACAGCTACTCTGTTGGGGCAACTGAACTTGTGCCCATAGATCATGGGCTTTGCCTACCCGAGATGCTTGACGATCCATACTTTGAATGGCTGCATTGGCCACAAGCCGCTGTGCCCTTTTCAGAGTTGGAAGCTGAGTACATATCTCAGCTTGATCCATTTAAGGACGCAGAGCTCCTGCGAAAGGAGCTGCCTTCATTGAGAGAATCCTCCATTAGAGTTCTTATTCTCTGCACCATATTCTTGAAGCGTGCTGCCAGTGCTGGCCTTTGTCTTGCCGACATTGGAGACATGATGACTCGGGAATTTTGTGGAGGAGAGGAAGGCCCAAGTGTGTTAGAGACTCTATGTGCCAAAGCCAAGGCTAACATGCACTATCTGTTTGAGATTGAACCTGTTACAGAAGATAAAGAAGAACAAATTGGCATGTTCCAATTGGATATAGATTGTGAAGAAAACACTGCAGATGTGTTGGATCTCCCCCGGCTTTTGCAAAGCTGTCCTGGAATGGGTAAGCCACCAAGACCTCCAAAGAAGTTCCGGTCAGCACGATCAGTAGGCAGGCAGCTCTCCCACATGGTTTTGTCTCCATTACATGAGGAAGACGATGACAATGGAAGCACCAGTGGCGAAGAAAACAATGTCAATAATGGTGTTATTGAAAGCAATGAAAATAATGACGACGGCGATGATAATGATAATGATGATGATGATAATGTTGATGATGATAATGATAATGAGGATGATGATGATGATGATGATGATGATGATGGCAATGATGATGATAATGATGATGGTGACAAAGTTGTGGGATTGACAAAAAGTGTAAGCTTCTCAGTACCACAACACAACAATGAACCTGCTGGCTTTTCATTTAGAGGCATGACTGAAGAGGAGTGGGAGTTGTTTCTGGATAAATTTGGGAAGCTTCTTCCTGAGGCTTTTGAAGGTAGGAAGAACATGGGATTGAAAAAAAGGTTAGGAACTTCATGCCAATTCTGAGAAAAGTTTGTGGAAAGAGATAAAAGATAGCAAGTGTAGGAGATTTGTGTAGTAATGGTGTACATTATGTATACATTATTGGTCAAATTGCCATAGTGTAGATACTCAGTGTAGGAATGGATTATGGAACATAGTGAGTGGCAAACTGCCCTCCTCTCTACTAACTACATAGGAATGGATCACTGTGAGTGGTAAACTGCCCTCCTTTCCATTATATTTTTATGGCGCCTCCTTTCCATCAATTATATATTTGTTTTCATCACTTGATGTATTTTATTTGTATCAGGTACACTTACCTGGCCTTTTATATAATAATATGCTGAAGTTGGATTTATGAAACTGAGAATCAATGAAATGATCAATTTTCTATTTCATTAATTATCAATGAAAATATTAAGTGTTATGTTTGTGCTTTCAATTCTTTGTGGCGATCCGTTTCATGAATCCGCTCCGAATTAATTTGAGAAAAACCTGAAGGTAAAATTCCATAGTGGTTTTGCGGTGGTATAGACCCGACCCATATTCATCTTATAGGTCCGAACCGAATACGAAGAGTCATGTATTTTTGAGGGTTTTCCCTCTTGTATACAGAAGTTGGAGCCTTATGAGAGAGCGTGAGACATTGGGTGTATTTTGGGGCTTAGGGTTTTCTATGAGAGCATAACTCTGTATTTCTTCTTCATTATTTACTACATAGTGGATTTCTATTCCTCTTTCGCTCGTGGACGTAAGCTATAAGCCGAATCACGTAAATCTGTGTTCTCTGTGTTTGCTTTCTCTTTATCTTTATTTTATTTTCATTTGAGTGCCATTTCAAATTTGTTTTCTTGGGTTTTTCTGCAACATTAAGGGATATCTTCTTTTTCTATTAGAGGAAAAAAAAAAAGAAAAAGTATATAGTGTATTCTAGATATGATCACTTGAAAAGGGCAGCCCAGTGCACAAGACTCCTATCAATGCGAGGTTTAGAGAATGGGGAGAGACAGATTTATGCAGCCTTCCCTGAGATAGTTAATAACTATTAAGAATTTGAATTATGTATCTTGATCACACTTGTTTTAACCATTGGATGAGAAAATAAAAATCAACGATCACGTTAAGCCTCCCTATGGCATCCCTACAAGGGCTAAGCAAGTGTATGCAAAATACAAGCAAAATGTGCCTTTAAAGTGCTTCATTATACTACACATGCAGGTGCATGCATTGTGAAGTAGCGAGCTCTCTCTCTTCCATATGGTAAAAGAGTGTAGGCTTTTTCCTATAAAAAAAAGTTCAAAAAAAATTGTAATTTTTCCAGATGAGACTTGAAGGAAAAACAAGAGATTTGGTGAGAGAGTTCAATTTTTTTAAAAACTATTTTTGTACGACCAGAAGTACAAAAGCCAAGCTGTGTAATCAATCAATCTGTAATTTATAATCTCAAGAGCAAATTGGTTTGGACTTCAGCATACCCAACTGCTTCAAAGAAAATGGCTTATAGTAAACCCTCAGCTTGGTTTTTCATTTTTTCCTCTGAAAAAGGTTTCAAAACCCACTCCATCACACATTTATCCCACTCATGTCACCATAAAACGTTGAAGATGCCCTAATATCAAAGTGGATGTATTAGTTTACATCGGATTCTTTTATTGGACAAAAAGGAATTGCCATCCATTTAAAAAAAAAAAAAGTTATGTGACTTTGTCCATCAACATTCGACAGCTTGGGTTGTAAACAAGGCCCTCAGATCACCCAACCATGCATCCAACTGCACTGATATTACTTTACAATGTATCGAGACAATCCATTTTTGCTGAGTCTGTCACTTGTTCTAGCCCCAGGCTAAAATTGTGAAATCATACCTTCAATATTTCAATTATTGTTGTGGCTTCACCTTAATTTAGTTAAAGGGACATCAAGGCGTGGTATATATCTAAGACTAAATCTACATGATAGTAGCAAGATGTCAAATGATTGATTTGTAAGGTCTCCTGTTGGTTGTAGTGGAGATTCGGGATCGAATCCTGCCTATATCAGGGTTGGGGGGTTTATGGGTTTGGGTGATGGGCTACCCCTTTATGCAGCCCCACAGAGTAAAAAAGAAATCACATTCACAGTAAAAGTGAATTCATAGGGAGAGGCACAGAGCTCTCCCCATTTTAAAAGTAACAAAAGCTAAACTCCTACCTTCACCCATCCTAATATTCTTCTTCATCCTCATCAGCACAACCAATTTTTCATCACTTTATTTTATTTGCCAATAACAAGGTTCAAAAAATTGTTACGTATCGGCCTTTATTGGTTGATACTTATCGTATCAGGCCCTTCCCAATATACCCCTACAGGGGTTGTATCAGGTCAAGGCCTGATTCAAGGTAGTCGGGACTTAAAGCGGCCCTTCTGAACCAAAATCGAAAAAATAGGTAAAAGTTACAAAAAAAAGACCATTACTGGCCGATACACCCTATCGGCATATCGACCAGTATCGATACTTTGAACCTTGGTCAATAAGATTTATTAGAAAAAAAAAAAAGATGTCATCTTGGGCCATTCCGTTTTAATATATAGATATAGATGGATAGTTCCATAATTGTTCACACACCCTAGAGATTTTGACATTATGCAAAAATAAAGTAGTTTAGTGCCACAAATAAAATTATACAGAGGACTACTTAAGCTTAAATTTCACATACCACCTCCCTTAACCCAAATGGAGGGTTCTCTTTTGATAAATATCAAAAAGATCATTTATAAAAAAAAACTATTCGTTGTGTAGGTCCTGAATATACAATTAATAAAAGTGGTTAAGAAAACAATTGGAAAGGACCCGTTCATTTACCATAAACAAGAGGGGAAAGTTGGTCAACGGGCATCTCTTTCTCATTAACCAAGTTTACAGTGTTTGTTTTGCATTAAGTATCGGGTTCTATGGTAAAATTAAAGAGCTTCATTTACTCGGGTAAAACTTATCCATCTCCCAGGTGGGTAAGTAACTTTCACACCTAGGGGAAAAGTTTATAAAACATGGCGGGATAATAAGTTTGCCCTTTTTAACATTAATTTTTTATGGGTAAAAAGGTCATTATAGTACTTACTTGAGAATCAAAAGAATATGGATAAGTCAACTTACCTGAATAAGTGTTACCCAAAAACATTTACCTGGGTAATTGCACTTACCCGGATAAATTAGAAATTTGTAAACAAATGGGACCTTAGAAGTGAGCAAATAATCTATTTTGGGCGTCACTTATAAATACAGTGTTCTGCCTTCAAATGCATTGTATTTGTGTAAAATAAAGTATTGAGAGGTCATAATACTCCATTTTACACTATTCAACCAAAATACAATTTGCTTGCTTCAAAGAAACATTCAATCACAGCCATCAAAGAACAAATAACAAATACACAAAACTGATTAATGTGAAAACCTTTTCCATGTGTAGGAAAAAAACTACCAAGAATTAACAAAAAAATCTCCATTATGACAAAGATAATGGGAATATAAATCTCCTCTTTAATAGTAGCTAGAAGATATCAGATATGATCAAGAAAAAGATCCTATTGATTTACAATCAAATTCCTCATCAAAATGGTGGTTTACGATCAGCAAATATGCAAATATTCTCACCTCCAGTGACAGTTGAATACTCTAGAAAATAGTTTCTTGAAGATGGATAATAGCACTAAAACCTTACTGTGGTGTGTGGTTGCACTTTTCTCAAACAAAGAGAGCAAAAACGTTTTAAGGAAACCATCAATTCCAAAAACTGCAAAAGTCTTCCCAAGGAGAGAATAGAGATGAGAGGAGATCCAATTTGGTACTCACAGAACCGTGCTCACTCAGTCCTCAGAGCCTATTGCAACTGTACATTGGGAATATCTTCCTACTTAAATGTTTTTATTCATGGAGAGATATTCTCATTACGTAGTAGGCTATGAGGATGGTGTGAGCACAGTTCTGTGAGTACCAAGTCCAAACTCAGATCAATTAATCCTTTTCATTATCCTTACAACTAGAGAGGAATCAAATTCAAAAATTATGATATTTTAGTTAAACAAAAGTTCTACACTCTCATTCACACTTTTAATGGTAGTATAAATAGATTTTCTTATTGATCTATGTGGGCAATGGAAGGGTTGAGGTTGAGGGTTGAAAGGGACACCTTATATGTTTTCTTTTTAATTAAGGAGTAATCTTGTCTATCAAAACTTTTTTTTTTTTAATTCACCTATTTGGATATTATTCTCTTAACATGCCTGACCTTGTCAATTTGATAGATTTGTTAATATTTTTGTGAAAAAGCTCTAGAGATAAAATACAAATTTAAAATCAACCCAAAAAAAGTGTAGTTCCTATTTGGTGTGAGTCAACAATTCAACCTTTTGGGTTAAAATATGTCAAACCTTAATGTCATAATTAAATAATAATAAAAATAAAAAAGATGAAAACACACAAAAAGTATAAAAATACAAAAAAAAATTATAAAAAACATTTGGCCACATCTCTAATGTTGTATATCCATCATATTAAACAAAAATAAGTGTGCCAAATAAGAATAATTTTTATAGACATACAAGTATAAAAAATATAGAAAATTTTGGAAACATATTATTTACTATCATTATTATAAAAAATTATCACGTGCAAAACACATACACCCTTACTAGTATTAATAAGTTTAGTATGACATAAGTGCAGCACTCCCACATAGAGCTACAACTTGGGCAACCCAACCTGACCTAACATGAGGTTTTATATGAATTGGGCCAATGTTTTTGAATTGTAGGCTAGATTTGGGCCGTAAAACATGGCCTGGTGGCTTTAGGCATCAGCTAGTCCAATCTTGATCCAACTCATCCCACCTAACACACACACACACACACACACACACACACTACTTTAAAAAATACAAATGGCCTCAAGAATATTTCTGGAAATCCAACATTTAAGTTATTAAATTGCATTCGTATTCATTGAATCATATATTTAAGTCATTTTTATTTCTTCTCAAGTTCTCATCATTAAGTTCTATTAATTAAATCCATACTTAATAAATTAATAATTTCAATAACATAAAATCTTATACTTTTAAAATCTACCTAGAAAAAATAGTGTTTTCATCTAAGTGGTGATAAGAAATTAAACCATTTTGGCTCAAATGGATCAATCCATGTTGCCACGATTAAATAATAAAATTCAAAAGTAGATAAAATGAAAAAAATGGGAACATTTTTAACATACATATTAAACAATAATAAGTATGATAAATAAGAAATATTTTTATTAATAATGGAATGGAATGTAAAATTTAATTGAAAATAAAATATTTTCCTATTCTCTCTCATTAAATCCTATATTTAAGATATATTTTTTTCATCATTAAATTCTTGTAGTGAATCCATAATATTAATTTTTATAGTATAAAAATAAATATTTTGAAAAGTAATTTGGAAACAAAACCATTTTCTTCCCTCTTGGTGGTGGGCAAGAAATTTGGCCATTTGAGGTCAAATGGATTAATAAATAATACCATAATTAAATAAAAAAATTAAAATAAATAAGTATAAAATGTAAGAAGTATTTTTATTAATGATGAAAATGGAATGCCAAATTTAAAATCTACCTAAAAATGACATGATGTCATAGTCAAATAATAAAATTTTGAAAAATATAAAATTCAAAGAATCACAAAAATAAGAAAAAAAGATAGAGGAAATTTGGGCACATATCTAATGTTATATATTTATAAAAAATAAAATATTATGTACATTTCTAATATTATGCATTCATTATATTGAACAAAAATAAGTATTATAGATAAGAAATAATTTTATCAATGATGAAAATGTAATACGAAATTTAATGTCAATCTAGAAATCACACCATTTTTCTTTTTGAGTGGTGAATTAGTGGTTTCGGTGAAATGATATCATAGACAAACAAAATTATGTGTGATAAGTAAAAATTATTTATATAATGTAAATGAAAGCTGGTTGTACATTTAAAATTAGGTTTCAAGTTGGTCTACAAACCAACAAAACTCTAACAATTGACTTTACATTTCAAATTATAAAAATCCCTACGGTCTGATTAGTACCATGTAGGTGTGTAAGAAAAAAAAAAAAAAAAAAAAGAATGAGAGGGGAGTGGGAGAGAAACTGAGGGAGAACAATAGAAACTGAGAGAGAAATCGACTAAGAAAGAGAATGATAGGTAGAGAGAAAATGAGAGAAATTGATAGAGAGAATGTAAATACCGAAACTAAAAACCATTTTTTTTCAAATCACATAGTTGTTGAGTAGAGAGAGATGACTATGAAAGTGAGAGAGTGGGAGGGGGGAGAGAGAGAGCGGAAGAGAAACTAAAAACCTTTTTTTTTATATTTTCCAATCACCCAACATTAAAGGGCAATTTCGGTATAATACTTTTGTTGTGTTCAACATGGATTAAGAGTCTCATGTTGGAAATAGCCACATAAGCCTCCAATTACTTGGGCGGGGTTTTTATAATTTGAAATGTAGAGCCAGTTTTCAAAGTTTTGTCGGTTTTAGGACCAACCTATAGCCTAATTTTAAATGTACATCTAACTATAATTTTCCCTAATTTAAAACTAATATGAAAACAAATCTATTTTCTTATATAGATGGTGGGTCAATGATCCAACTTTTCAAAGAAACCCATAATGTCATAATTGAATAATAAATATTTAAAAAAAATGATAGAACACCAAAAATGAATAATAATAATAATAATAATAATAGTTGTTATTTGCTACAAACATTTAAATTTATTTTAATCATATTACTAGTGGGGACTCGTGCATCGCACGGGATTTATTAAGTGAAAGCTAAATAATAGAAAGGGTCATTTATTAAAATATCTCTTATACTTTCATGGATTTACTAAAGTCTACCCTATAGTTAGCATTTTACTAAAATACCACTTATAATTTGCAATGGATTTAATCAATCTTCCATTAGATGACAGTGGAAAATGATAATGTTGATCCTAATGTTCATTTAAATAAATTTAATCACAAGAAAATAAAAATAAAAATACCATTTTTGCCCTTAATAAGACACAAGCAACCACTCTATGGGTTATATTTGGTCAATTTTGTTTTCTGTACAAAAAAATGTTCAGGGTTATTTTGGAATAAAAAATATGGGCCTAATGGCAAAACAAACACTCCTTAATGAAAGGTTGATTAAGTAAATAAGTTGTAAAATATATGGAATATTTTAGTAAAATGAAAGCTATAAGATGTGAGTAAATGACCCTAATAGAAACACATGTATACAATTGTTTTATATTTTCAACTTTTAAATAATTAATAATAATTCATATTTTATATACTATTTTTAATATTTTTTTATAATACAAAAATAACAATTATTAATTTCAATTAGGTTTATTCATCAAACTGATAAAATCGACCAACCTGATCAACTTGACCCAAGTTGGACGATTTTCTAGTATTTTAAGTCGACTTTGGTTAAAAAAATTTCCAATTCGAGCAAGTTGGATCAATTTCACTTTGACCACTTGTAAATTGACCAAAATCGAACAACCTAACCATGGATATATATTAATATTTGATATTTTAAATATAATTTTTTATATTAAAGTGGAAAATTTCTTATATTTCTTAGTCTAAAATGTTTTATGTCATAACTCTAATTTTTAAATCTATTTTTATTAATTGCATTGTAATTTTTAAAATTAAATTTTAATTTTTAAGATTAAATCTTTTGAACCGATTGACCAAACCAAAAAATTGACCCAAACCGATAAAACTTGAGTGGGTCGATTTTCACAAAAGGTCAATCGGTTTCAACTAACCAACTCCCCAACTTGACCAGGTCAATTTGGTTGGCCAAATAGCCTACGACCGAACCAAACCAACTAATGAACACTAATAAATTCAGTTAAATTAATAGTCTCATCTCTGATAAAAAACAAAAGTTTAATCTCCAATAATTATTGAAAGTTTTATATTAAATAACAAAACAAAATAAATTTATACATAATCCTTGGAAATACATTTATCACAAAAAACAATAAATAATTACTGAAATACAATTAATATTAATTTTAGTATATATAATTATATAATAAATACAAATTAAGAGTTAAAAATTATTATTATTAAATATTATTTTTTGAAAGTTATTTTCTTGAATTATTACTTGATATAATTGAAATTAGTTATTTATAATATTATGTAAAAATATTAAATTATTATTAATTTCAATGTTATGTTATAATTATTTTTCTATTTTACAGATTTTTTAAATTTATTATGTAATTTCTTTATTTTAACCATTTAAAAATAGTTATGTTAAATATTTTGTTATTTAAAATATTTAGTTATTTAAATACTTAAATAATATGTAAAATATTAATTATTTATTGAATTTAATTATCCATAAAATCAATTTATACTATTGTTACATAATTTCATTATTAATTTTGTAATATATTAAATTATTATTAATTTCAATATTATGTTATAATTATTTTTCCTCTTTGAAGAATTATTTTTAAATTTATAATATAATTTCGTTATTTTAACTATTTAAAATCTAGTTATGATAAATATTTAGTTGTTTAAATATTTAAATAATCTATGAAATATTTAAATTTTATTTATTTAAAGCTATTGAATATTATTAAATATTTGAAAAACATTTAAATTTATAATCCGGAAAAACATAATTTAAATTGTTAGTACATAATTTCGTGATATATTTTGTGAAAATATAATTTTTTTTTGTTTTTAACAAATATTTTAAAGTTATTATATAATTTTTTTAGAATATTTAAATAATTCTTAAATTTTTTAATCCAAACTTTTCTTTAGATAGATATAGATAAAAAGTAGGGGAGAGGATAAATAAGAATTAGAGATAATTTAGAAGAGAAGCTCTCTACTAAATTTGAGATAATTTTGGAGATAAATATGAATTAGAGATAATTTAGAAGATAAGTAGGAATTAGAGGTAAGTTTGGAGAAAGTGGGAGAGATAGTTTAGGAGAAATTTTAGGAGAAGAGAGTATTTAGGTTATTGGGAAAGTGCATCTCATTGATTATTTTAAAAATAACATGGAATAAAAAATTTAAAAATTTTAAAAAAGGAAAAATTCCTTGACCACTTTGTTTTAATATATATATATATATTATTTTTAAATTTATTATATAATTTTTTTTATTTTAACTATTTAGAATCTAGTTATGATAAATATTTAGTTATTTTAATATTTAAATAATCTATAAAATATTTAAATTTTATTTATTTAAAGCTATTTCATATTATTAAATATTTGGAAAACATTTAAATTGATAATCCGGAAAAATATAATTTAAATTGTTAGTACATAATTTCGTGAAAATATAATTTTTTTTTGTTTTTAACAAATATTTTAAAGTTATTATATAATTTTGTTAGAATATTTAAATAATTCTTAATTTTTTTTTAATCCAAACTTTTTCTTTAGATAGATATAGATAAAAAGTAAGGGAGAGAATAAATAGGAATTAGAGATAATTTTGGAGATAAATATGAAATAGAGATAATTTAGAAGATAAGTAGGAATTAGAGATAAGTTTGGAGAAAATGGGGGATAGTGGGAGAGGTAGTTTAGGAGAAATTTTAGGAGAATAGAGTATTTATGTTATTGGGAAAGTGCATATCATTGATTATTTTAAAATAACATGGAATAAAAAAAGAAAAAAGAAAAAAAAAAAAAAGAAAAAACTCCTTAATCATTTTGTTTTAATATATATATTACTTTTGTTAATTTTTAATTTTTATCTTAACTATAATATATCTAAAATTTAAATAATTAATATGAAAAAAAATTACATGCAATGCATATACTTAATTACTACTATATATAATATATCCAAAATTCGGATTGGGTGATTGGGTCTGAATCAGGGTCAGGATGTCAAGATTGGGGATTCGTTAAAAATTTAAAACCGACCTCAACCTGATGATCAGAGGCAGGCATGAGCCCCCTTTTACCAATGAGCTAGCTGGCACCTTCCCCTAATCCAATTTGAGTATTTAACATTGTGTTATTGATATCTTTAGGGGATTAATGCAAAGTTACATTATCTTAATTGCTACAGTTACACATGCATGCGTTTCCAAGCCTATACTTAAATGCATCTTTTCTGAATCGCTGCCCAGATAAGTAAGGAAAACATTTAACATTTATAAATATCTACGCACAACGTTTGATTCCTTATAAGCTTGTGTTTTTATAGACTCAGAACAGTAAATTTCGCGCACTAGAGGTTAGAGCTCCTCTTCCATATCTTCAAGAATTCAGCTTTCCAGCTACCCATGTACTCGAATTAGCAGAAGGTGCAATTTATCCATGGCTTCATCTCCATTCCTCTGTTGTCACGTTTGCCCTTCCGATATTAGCAGAAAGACCAGCAATTTCTTTAGAAAAAGCAGCTTCTCTTCATTTTCAGGAAATGGGGCTTGTACTTCTAATCAAAAGCCTCAATTTCGAACAACCCCATTTGTCAGAGCTATGCCTTCTGATTCAAAAGCTGGGAGAAAACAGTTAGAGGTATATTCATCCGGTGCTTCTACTCTGAATTTCAGTTTTTTTTTTTTCCTGCTTGCTCGTGCAAATTTCAAGCCTTCTGTTAACTTGGTCGGTTGGTTATTTTGTTATGTTTTAGATAGTTTATGATCCAGATGAAAGGATAAATAGGTTGGCGGATGAAGTGGATAAGAATACTGGACTTTCAAGGCTAAATCTTTTTTCACCTTGCAAGGTACTCATTCCTTTCTTCTTGTTCTTTTTCCTGTCCCTTCTCCCTTTTCTTCTTCTTCTTCTTGAGCTTAGCCTGCTTCAATTCAATTTAAATTTAGTATATTTGATGCGCAGATTAATGTTTTCCTCAGAATAACTAGTAAAAGGGAAGATGGGTATCATGATTTGGCATCTCTCTTTCATGTAAGTTCACCCAGGAACTTGTTTCGTTCTTGTTTTCTTTGTATCTTGGGTTTCTTTCCTTCTCTTTTTGCATTTCAGGGCAATAACCACACCCTCTATTATATTCCCAGGCTATAAGTCTAGGAGACAGAATAAAATTCTCTCTGTCACCATCTAAAACCAAAGATCGTCTTTCCACCAATGTATCTGGGATCCCACTTGACGATAGAAATTTGGTAAGTTCTATTGTAATTGGAGTCTTTACTTTCAGTCAAATATCTTGTTTTGTTTTCCTTCATGATTTTTGATGGTTTATGGGTTTGGAACGTCCTTTGCAGATTATTAAAGCCCTTAATCTTTATAGGAAAAAGACTGGTAGTGACAACTTCTTCTGGGTAAATGCAAATTCTATTAATCCTTGTCTGATCAATATTTATTCTTGAAACTACTTTCAAGTTTATTTCTTTTAAAAACATTGGCAGATCCATCTTGACAAAAGAGTGCCTACTGGGGCCGGTCTTGGCGGTGGTAGTAGTAATGCTGCAACTGCACTATGGGCAGCAAATCAGTTTAGTGGTGGTCTTGCCACTGAAAAGGAACTCCAAGAATGGTCAAGTGAAATAGGTTCAGATGTTCCTTTCTTTTTCTCTCATGGAGCAGCCTATTGTACAGGCAGAGGTGAGGTATGTTTTCATCCACAGAATGTATCATAACTCAATAGTCTTTTCCACATCATATTAATGCATGCTTTTTATGTGTTAAATATTCATATGGTTTAAAAATTCCCCTTCAAGCATCACTCTCCTGTGATTAGGCCCTGAATTGAGAGACTTAATGGACCATATAAACTATTGATGCCTTTCTGGAACAATTTGGTTCTTTCTGGATCGATTTTACTATTTTATTTCTCTTTCAAAGAATCTTTTGTTTGAGTTAAATCTTGTTTAATGAAATGGCTGGTACCTGTCAGACTCAAACGAAGGTTGTTGGCATGTTGCGATTGGTGATGAGATTTCAATTGTCATAAAGAACATATGTAGTTGCATTTGTAGGACATTTTAAGCATACATGATGAAGAAGGTATTGCTGCTTTTTTATGGAAAAACTTATTTTTATTTTCTTATTTGCCATAAGGAAGAAATGACTTATAAGGTAAAGTCAGAATGGTTTCTTTACCACTTTATTATTTTGTACTTAGATTTGTGGGGTTTTGTTTCCTTATTAATCAAAGAGAAGGTGTCTCAATCTCACTATGTTGTTCTCTTGATGATACACTCAATTCATTTGGGTTACATAATATATTATAGAATTCAGTGCCTAAATATGAAAACTGATTTTGTTTACAAAGTGTTGCTTTTCTATACTAATAAGTTTTCACTTCTTAGAAAGAATAGACATAGTGGAGGCCCTGAGACAATTGGCCATCAGTACAATTTACTTTCTCTCGAAAAAAAAAATCATATGTTTATATCCTACCAATATTTAGTGCATATGGTACAACGTAATATGTTAGAAACACATCAAGAATGTCTTATCTTTTTTTTCTTTGTTTTAGAGAGGAGTTTATGATTCACTAGGTCAGTACAGCTGCTGCATAGATTCACTGCAGATTTCTTCACTAACAATGTCTGATTTCTTTGAGAATACTTTCAATCATTTGGCCACTTCTTCTTTCCCTTATATGTCTACCAAGTTGATTAATATACTAACAAATTTCAAATTGGTTCTGATCTCCCTCAATTATGATGTTCCATGTCAAATTTTAACTCCACTCATTCTAGAATCAATTAGGGAGATGGTTCATATTCATCCAATGATTTGAAATGGAAGAACAACTTTTTGGTGGCATATTTCTGAGAATGTTACATCATCATAGCTATTCTTATTTGAACTATAGACAGTTCCTTTTGAATTTGAAATTGCAGTAAAGATGTTATTGGGGTAACATGTTTGGGCAATATGAATGAAGTTGACACTATGGAGTATGTACTGTACTTGTAGTATACATTCACATCAATCCATATGGATCACTTGATGTCATCTCCTGGATCTAGCTGATCGATTGCAGCCCTCAAAATGATATCCCAAAATGTCTTGAGATGTCCTTTGGCCTTCAGATATAGCATTAATGTTGAATTGAATTTTAGAATCTAACAGAGTTAAGGAATGTCGGATTCGAAAAACAGGAAAACTGAACTTCTGGAATTAACATAACATTTAATAAATGTACAGGAAATTAGTTAGCATATACTCGTGATCAATATATTGTATTCAAAATGGGATATATATATATATATTGACAAATGCCAGATGATTATTCTGTAGTATATAATCTATTCCACTAAATCAAAATCCAAGCTTTCCTACTACATTATTGTGGTAGTGAAACTCGTCTATATTAGATATTATTATTAAGAAACCACTCCATTTACTTTCAGTTCTTCTTATAATGGTATTCAAATAAAAAAACTTTCTGTTTTGGTATATAATGTATTCAATTGGTGGTACCTACATGATACTATTGCTTTCTGGAAGTGGAATTTCAAATTAAGGAAACTGATGTCTAAAATGTGGCTCTGTTTACCAGGTTGTTCAAGATATTCCACCACCAATACCACTGGACATACCAATGGTTCTTATAAAGCCACAACAAGCATGCCCGACAGCTGAAGTTTACAAGGCACTGCTAACATGAATGTTACTTTTAATAGTAGCATTATCTTATATTTTGTTGTTCCATATTTATAATTCTAGGTTTAAATTTTGATTTGTGCAGCACCTTCGTCTGGATCAAACTAGTAAGGTTGACCCTTTAAACTTGCTGGAGAAAATCTCAGGGAATGGAATATCACAAGATGTTTGTATAAATGATCTAGGTATGAGAACCTTCACAATGATGTATTTTTTTCTTTGCATGTGACTTTGGTCAATCATCTATGGGTTTCTTATTGATTCATTCTTTGCAGAGCCTCCTGCATTTGAAGTCCTACCATCTCTTAGAAAGTTGAAACAACGCATCCTTGCTGCTGGCCGGGGACAGTATGATGCTGTTTTTATGTCAGGAAGGTAAATAGACACTGCTGTGCCTCTTTTATTGAACATCATTTGCAGATATTTTGGGTATTTTCCAATTGGACATGGATAGAGCAATTTTAAGCATATAGTTGGTAGAATCCATGCTTAATACTGCATTCATCTATTTAACAATAAAGAAATGGGGGAAATACACATCTTTATTAGAAAGTTAGGATTCATATATTTAACGAGTTGACATGGATGAATGGTGTGGATGGGGAGGGAAGCTATATAAGTTGTGTTCAAGAATTCATCAGTTATGGGTTAAGAATACCTGTTAAGGATTGTTTTGAAGTGAGAGGTAGAAGTGTGGTTTGATATCCTGTATTCAGAAAACTTATCTTGGAGAAGGAGATTCAGGATGGCATAGATCAATTCAAGAGATTGAATGAAGTGGAGGTATCATCAAATCAGCAAGAAGAAAGGTCAGAGAAAGAATTCTCTATTGGGAAGTTCACTGTAAAGTCCTTTTACGAGGCACTCATCAGAAATCAGTTAGTTCTTCAAACAAGACCTGTTAGTGCCTCTCATTCTATATGTGTTTTGTGTGAATTAATTGATGAATCCATTTAGGGTATACTAATCTATTTCTCATTATTTGCTAGTAGTTGGGAGTATTTCTTCTCTTTGTTTCATTCCTGATGGATACCCATCAGGGAAACAATACCTTTCCATCTTTCTCTTTTTCTCCTCGGAAGGAAAAAAGTGGAAAGATATTGTTTATATGTGCAAGAGCAACTATGGAAAGGTCAGAAACATAGAAGTTTCTCTAGAAAGAGATGACTTCAAAGTCATTGATTTAACTCGTATCTGTTAGAGTGACACTGATACATTGGATTTTGAATGTTCTTGATGTCTACAATGAATGATATCATGATAGGATGGCAAGCAGTAGTGGTACTGGTATCAACATCTGCAAGGAGGGATGTATTAAGTTGAGTTCTCAACCATTTCATCATATTAAATTGAACTTTGATGGGTGGGTCTTGCAAATCCTGGGAATTCTAGCATCGGTAGGTCTTTTAGAAACCAAAAAGAATTCCTTTGGAACATCAAGATGGCTGAAAGAAAACCATTTGGTAAAATGGGAATGGATGTGTAGGGCTAAGAGGAAATGGAGGATTTGGGATACAAAGAATAAAGTGGCATGATATAAGGCATTGTTGGGGAGGATTCATCACTAACCTAATAATAATAATAATAATATTATTATTATTATTATTATTATTAGGTTGTTGTTATTAGGTTCAAATCTTGAAAACAGCCTCTCTGTATGTATATGGGTAAGGCTGCATACATATGTTCCTCAGACTCTTCATTGGCAGGAGCCTTGTGCACTGGGTTGCCCTTTTTTATTATTATAAGGCATTGTTAGGGAAATGGTGGAGGTTTGGGGTTGAGAAAGAGTCATTATGGAGGAGAGTAGTTGCTTCAAGTATGGGGGGTCAATTTCATGGTTCAAAATGTCCATTAATTTCCTAATATTTCCATTTCCATAGATATTGGCATAAAACTTTACTGGAATTGGCATATTCTCAATGAGCACTACCATCCACTATGTGGACTACAAAAGATAGTATTAATGTATTATAAGATAAGTTGGTGAAAATATTGTAGATATGTGGAATGGCGGTGTTATTGCCCACCCAATGGACATGAGTACCACTTTGAGCCAACTGATACTTTTTTTAAACATCAAGTCAAATTTTAGTTTTTGTTTGTGTAAGATTATTTGATTGATTTGTTAAAATCGTTTTAATTTTCTATGAGTTAAAGTTTTTTCTTGAACTCATTCTATCTCGTAGTTTTGACTCTCAAGGTTTAGGACAACTTCACAACATATTATTTTGTCTACAACCTTAATTTCTTAGCTTTGTTTAATATGATTTGGAGATAAATCTAAAAAAGTGTGCCTACGCTTCTTTTATCATTTAATAAAATATCATTCTATATTTTTACATATTCCACAATGTTTCCACCATGTCAAGGATGTATCGGTCCAACATGCCACCGTATTGGCGTGTATCATATAATATCGCCCAATAGGATATGATACGCACCAATATGGAAGTGTATCAAACCCGAAATTGACAATAAACGTGCCTAGTGGTTCACCATAAAAAAGAGAACCTGGCGTGGTTTGAACCTAGGTCATCCAGCGTGGTTGCACCCAAGAGTGCATACACTTTTAAGTTTTAACCACTAAGCCATCTTTTACTTCATGATAATAACTAGGGCTGCAAGTCGGGCCGGGTTAGGTCGGGTTGAGGCCAACCCTAGCCCAACCCTAAGTTCTAAACCCCTAACCCAACTTTCAACACTAACCCTAACTAAATACCTCCAACCCTAACCCAACCCAACCCGAAGTCAACTTCGGATTGGGCTGGACTTGGGTTGGGCCCATTCCAACCTTCTTCCCATCCCTTAAAATCTTGTAGAACTTCTTAATCTAAAATCTTAACTCAACTTTCACTACATATATTATGTTTTATTAGTATTTGTTTGTTGATATTTTTTATTGGGTCTCTATGTACAAAATGCAGAAACAAAGTTTGAAATGACTATAGTTTATTATGAGTTATGACTTATAATAGATCTTTTATAGGTAGCAAGCTATGGGTGGCAAACAATAGAGAGGAAATAAAAAATAAAGTATTCAAAAAACATAAAATATGTTATTGAGGATTTAGTATTTCCAATTAGGATTAAGTGAAGTGATTATCTTAAAAGAAATAAATGATAATATGTGATGGGGGTTATACAACTATCATGCATCTATACAAATCAATGTATGATATATATATATATATATATGTGTGTGTGTGTGTGTGTGTGTGTGTGTGTGTACTATAGAGTTGGGTTTGGGTTGGGTTGGGGCCTAAACCTAACCTGAGCATCAACTGCTCAACCAAACCCGACTTTTTCAGGTTGGGTTAAGGTTGGGTTCGAGACAACCCAGCCCAAGTTGCAGCCTTAATAATAACTTTAACTTTTATTAACATTAGTGTCTACATGCTATCTAACATACACTTATATTCAACAACTCCAACTACAAATTAAAAAAATAATATTTAAAATTAGTATTTTATAAATCGATGGAATAAATAATTTATCAAATCCACATATATATCAAAAAAATGATTTTTAATTTTAAAAATTTATACAAATAAAAAATTAATAATAAAATAATTATTTTAATACTTAAAATGTATAAAATTGCACATGATATGTATCTTAAAATTTTTATAAATTATAAAATATTATTTGAATTTGCATTAAATAACATTGTATTTATTATTTACAAAGATAAAAATATTGTTTATAAAATATTTGAGAATATAATATAAATTGAATCTATCAAATACACTAATCTACATTTATATAAAAAAATAATTTTTATTTTAGAAATTTTATAAAAATAAAATATTAATAATGGAATAATTATTTTAGTAATTAAAATTTATGAATTTTCATATGATATGCATCTTCAAAATTTTAATAGGTTTGATATATTTTAAGTTAAGATTATTTATTTTTATAAATTATTAATTGATATTTTGACTTACATTTTATAATGACATGTTTAATGTTTAACAAAATGAAAATATTGTTTACCAAACATTTGAGAATTAATTTTTTAGATGGTTTTTGTTAATGGTAAAAATTAAAAATTATAAAATAGAAAAAAATTGATATGATAATTCAAATATAATAGTTGCATATGTTTTGTGCCTTGGACTTTAATAGAAAACGAAATAATAATGGCTTTGTACATGTATTAGTTTGTAAAAATCCATATAATGTGCCTTCGACTCTTGATTGATGCATTATCAATAAAATTGTATATTATCTATTCATCCTGCTATATTAATTGTAATATATTTATAGAATTTGTACATATTTCCCTATTGTATCCAAGCATTCCATATTTTTTTGTGTATTCATACGCTTCCCTAGCGTATCCATATCCAAATTGTACAATACGATACCCGGTACTGAACTTTAATCCTTACACCATGTCTATAATTTTTACAATATTTCCAACATGTTTCCTATATTTGGATACTGGCATTTCCACCGACACCAACATTTAAACCTTGGTCAATTTTGGGTGGGATAGAAGAAATAAGATCATCCTATGGTGTGAGTGTTTGGAAGGGCATTATAAATTTTCATTCAGCTTTTTCAAACTTAACATCATTCAAGATTGGGGATGGTGCAAGTATTAGGTTATTGGGAAGATGAGGGAGTTGATAGACCATGTATCCAAGGTTGTATACATTAGTCCAATCCATAGCAGTGTTGGGCCTATAAGATGAGGATTTCACCACAATGTGCTAACCACTAATAATATTATCCTTTGAGAATGGCACAAAGTTCTCTATAAGCTTTAATCCAATGCACCATTTAATCATGTTACTCTGAATGATGGCCTCCTTGGGCTGATGGTTCTCCTTGGATATCATTGCATTCCTTTTATCCAAAATACCAAAGAAAGGCAGCTCTTGTACACTTCCATATGATCTTTCCTATTTCTTGGTTGGATTGAAAAAAGATCTCTTAAAAAGGATCCACCTACATCTATAGGTAGGGACCACCTACAATTAAAGAGTGCAAAAAATGAATCACCTATAATGGAAGAACAAGGACAGGAGATTAATAGAGAGAACATAGATTCCCCACTTGCATTACAGAGAAAGCATTTGTTGAGAGAGACAACAGTTAGGACCCTCTTGTGCAACAGGGGAAAAGTTGTATGCTGGCTTGATACTTGAAATAGCTACATTATGCTATCCTAGATCTTGCACTAAAACCACTAATTCAGTTTTTCCTTTATTTCTCACATGTGTTTCATGTTGTTGATAGCTGCTTGTAATTTGATGGTTGTTGATATATTTTATGCAGTGGAAGCACCATAGTGGGAATTGGTTCTCCAGATCCCCCCCAATTTGTATATGATGATGATGAATACCAAGAAGTGTTTTTATCTGGTAAGCCTCAAATCTTTTATTCTCATCAGGAAAGCTTTTTATTGTAGAAAGAAATAGAAAGGACGCAAAGCTATGTGGAGCTATTGACACTATAGAAGTAAATGGGGATTACTGGGAACCACCATAACAAAACTATCCTGCATATACTAGGTACTCACAACTATGAAAGCCCAGGCCCCAGAAGCAACAGTAAGTAACCAACATCAAAGACAATTTGCAACCCTAGTCTTGGTCTTTTCTTTGCTCTTTATAATGATATATTGACATGCCAACTTGCAAAAATTAGACAGTTGTTCATTAGATGGCAATGCATCTACTTGACACACCAGTTACCTCCATCCCCCTCTTCCAAAATGTTTCATTACCACACATCTTTTTTTTTTTTTTGATAAATGATTACCACTCACATCATTCATAACCATCAAATTTCCATTCCTGTTATTTATCAAACTTCATTTTGGTATGTGTTTGGATAAACAATGATTTCTCTTCAAATTTGATCTCTATATCCAGTCTGTGTTCATTAACAGATGGTCCTTCAACTCATTTGAAGTGACATGTCATTCAGTCCCTCCATCACGGTATTCTCCTCCACCTTTCTGGCATAAAAGACTGCTTCCTGCCATAATTCTCGGGTAATTAGTTCATAAAATGTTAATACATTTTGGGGATCAGTTTGAGGCTTCTCTTATCAGGAGGCATTCTGCACCAAAATATTCTTTAGCGTCTTGTCATCATAGAATCTGTTTTATGGTTGAGAATGAAACCAAAGTCCAGCTTCCTTCATGGATAATTAGAAACCCCCAGCACAAAATCTAGGTTCTACTCTGTAAATCTCTCTCTCTCTCTCTCGATAATGTTTTAACACTATTGCTCCCAATACTGCAGAGGCATACTTCCTCACTCGCACGAAGGGCCAGTGGTACACAGAACCCGCATCAACAATAAGTTCTTGCGATTCGCCTGCTGACCTTGCTTCAACCATTCAGTAAATTCATGATTTATATAAGGATATTTCAAGTGCATTTTATACCCACTTGATGGATAAATTTCTCAAATGAAGACATCTTAACTTTCTAGTACTGCAATCTATGCCATCGTAGGAAAATTTAAACCAAAATAAGCAAACTACAAATCCGACGGTAACAGAAGGTTTCAATCACACTGGTTTCAATGGACTAAAGGGACAATTTTTCCCATCCAAGTGTCAGACTAGGGGTGTCAATTGGATTGGGTTTGATCCAATCCGATCCAGTCCAATGTGAGTCCATTATAAACGAATCAGGTCCAATCCAATCCAATGAATGCTTTGGACCAATTTGGACCAGTTCAATTCATTGTATGGACAGTTAGGACTGGATTGGTTTCAACCCAAATCCGGTCCATGGACACATATTCTTATCTTATATCAATGGACCAGATATTGACTTAATCAAACCCACTCCAATATAAATTTGTTAGATGGACCAGCTCCAATCGAATCTAAAAAATATTTTGGACCAGATTGGTCCAATCCAACATATCTTTGGTCCATCCAATCTGGACAAATTGATTTTGGACTGGACAGGGTCCAATCCAAAACCAGTCCATTGACACCCTTATGTCAGACAACTTCCCCCGAGGCGGAAAAATTACCTCACTAGGATATGGGTATCTTGTTAATGTAAGCCAATATCCTATTAACCAATTTCCCCCCTCAAAATCCCAAAAAACAGACGGACCTCTCCTGCTATTGCCGCCACATCATAGACCTCGTTTAATTCTTCCTCCAAGTGGGTGGTGATGGCACGAGTTGGCTTATTCGCCAATGAAAGATGGAAGAGCAAATAAAAAGAAACCAAACAATCACCCAAGACTAGATTCTTTCACTTTGATAAGCATCAACAACCATCAGCATCATAAGAAAGAACCAAGATCAATAGAAAATCCAACCACTTTTTATCTGTTTGTCTTTTTATCTTTTCTCTATCTTTCCAAGTCTTCCCTCGTCCTAAAGAGAAGGGGAAGTAACAAACTGCCTGGGTAGGCTAAAGAGGTCCTTCCCCGCAAAAGGTGATGTCCACTCATGAGAACCAGCGGAAGACGTCCCTGATGTATCTGTTGCTGCCACCCCACCGTCCTGCAAGCCCGCAATGCAGACACCATTAGTAGTGGCTGACCTCATCACAGGCTTTGCACCTGCAGAAGTTGCTGACGACCACGAATCATACATTCGGCTGTTGTTCATAAATGACGCAAGCCCCAACCACAATCCATTCGGCTTCGAGGATGACGTTGACTCCAATGTCCAGTCTATGTTGGTGTAGTCACATTGTGGCATAGAGCCCCCTGTGTTCCAGTCCACCGGTGAATTTGAGCCTGATGCCCCTGTTGAACCCCAGCCAGAGAAAAGCCCCAAAGAAGATGGCACAGCAAGTGATGAAGAGGCCGACCCTAGAGTGCTCCATGAACCACCCCAGCTGGTTGTACGGGGCTCTACTGGGCTGGAAGCAAAGGGCTGATACTGAGATTGGTAGAACTGTTGTGAGCTCAAATTGCTTGAACTCAGACTTGTAGTTGGAATATGCTGTAAACCCCCACTAGATTTCATTATTTCCACACCTGCGACACTGTTTGAATACCATCCAGCACTCACAGGAGGGGAGGGATTGATGCTTGTGACTGGGTTCGGCTTTGCATTAATTGATTGTGGGCGCTGCATCATGATGACTGGTTCTCTCACTGCTCCTGTTTGTAGGTTCTTAACCTCACTACCAACAACCACATACCGAGCTTCAGCCTTTGCTGGTGGAGATGAAACCTGCAAAGGAGATGCCAAAGAATATGAAACAGAGGGGCTCGACCCTGCACTTGGCCACCTCTTCTCTGATGATGTAGCCACTTGTGGCCTCGCCCACTCTGACTTTGGCTGAATCTTCCTCAATGACTGCAAGTTCTTGTTTGCAGGTTCTGAAGATGTCACCACTGTAGGCACCGCCTTTGTGTAATTGAAATCCCTTTCATCCCTTCTCTGTTGTATTGTAACAGAAGGAATGGGCTTTGCTTGCTGTCTCACCAGATTCTGAGTGACAGAAACTGCAAGCTTAACACCATTGGCCACCGGGGGATCACCAGTTTCTTCTGGTTTTGGTGAAGCAGAAGGTGCTTCCTGTTTTTGTGCCTTCAGGGTTTCTGCTGCTTTTTCCAAATCACCTTCACAAGCTACAACCACTCTTTCTACTTCCTGCTTTGTGCACTTAAACCTTACCTCCATCTCTGCTATCCGAGCAAGCTCTTCAGAAATATCAATTTTCAGGTTACTCCCACCATCAAGGTTAGAATCCTTCTGCTGAGCTGCTTCTTCACCTCCCTCAAATAGCCATGCAACTGATTCCTCTACCCGGCCTTCATTCAATATAAGGGCCATTGTTGCCCGCTCAGAAGAGAATCCCATAGCAACAAGCTGTTGTGCAAGTGCTTCCAGTTTCCTGGACATGAGATAGCCACTGCACCGCTCATGCAACTCCTGGGCCCTCTTCTCCCTCTGACGCTGGTGCTTCCTCTCATTCTTCTGCCGAATCTTGTCTCGTTTGTCATTGTCAGAGCCAGGTATTGCTTCCTGTCGGACAGGTGCACTAGTTGTTTTCTCCTTCTGCTGGTCTTCTGACTCACCAGAGCAACTATCATTGTTTGAAATAGAATCATACTCGGCCCCAGTCCCAAGTGAGCTTCCAGAATGCTCATCTGTCTCATCTATGTTTCTAAACCGACCATTGCTGTGGGGAGGTGGAGAGGAAACAACAGGTGCTGATTCAAGGGTATGGAAAGTCCCTGATAATGGATTATATGCACTTGCTGGAATTCCATTCCCTGTGCTCGAAGCCGTAGAAGGCTTGGATGAAGCCTTCGGCTGCTCCTTAGCAGATTTTGAAGAGGACTTAGACTTGGATCTGGAGGACGGAGACATTTCTCTGGATTCCAATAGTTGAAAAATCCCTGAAATGTTACAAAGATACAGTGTTTATTCTTGAGAAATGGTACCTCAGGATCAAAACAAACAATTAAATAAATGCATATTTTCACAGTTTTGTTGAGGGTGAAAACTTAACTATGAACAGCAAACAGGATAAAAGTCGACAGCAAACTGGAAAAGTTATTCATTCAAATTCATTTTACCTCTCTTTTTTCACTTTCATTTTCAACTTTTTTTCTCAGCACATGTGCTAGGTTTCTAATTCACAACATCAAGGTTGTGACAAGCAAAATCAGTTTTTCATGAGTAAATTTTTGCTTGTAGGACCTATACTCGGTACTTCAAACCTTGTGTATTTTTGCTTGTAGGACCTATACTCAGTACTTCAAACCTTGTGTACAAGTATAATCATAACAGACAATTCACTACTTTCAAGAGTAAATTTTTGCTTGTAGGACCTACCTATACTCGGTACTTCAAACCTTCTGTAGAAGTATAATCATAACAGACAATTCACTACAATATAATATGACGCCACTTAGCTGCCAAGAGTATATGAAAATAAAAGAAATGAAATGAAAATAAAAATGAAAGAGAATATTTTGCTAAAGAAGCATTTTGATTGGTAAGAAAAGAAACAGGAAACCACACACCAAAGAAGTGGAGAAACAATCTGACCCTTACCCTGCAATCTGATTGTATAGAGATTTAGCAGAAAACACTCCTCACTTATTCCGCTTCTAAACGCTACTATCCTCTTGGCCTGAGTTGATCTGCACCTTGTTAAGCATCACATGAAGCTATATCAAACAACTGGGGAAAACACTACTTCAAGGTCTGCCCTCGCACCAAACATCAGTCCAAAACCTGACCTTCTTGCCCTCTCCTATACTATACTTGATTCTCTCCTCAAATTCAGATCTTGCATTTCCATTCCTCTTCCAAACAGCACAACCATTGTTGGATGTCACCTCCCTTGAACCCCAGTCCATATCACTTCTGTACATCCTTCCACAGCCCACCTTCGCCCACCTTCATGGTTACCAAATTTCCACAGCCACTTACCTAGCAAGGATTTTCTTCACACCTAATCCCCCTTTCTTTTTAGAAGAGCAAACCTTCTTCCAACCTACTTTATGGATCTTCATTCCTCCAGCCACCTCAAAAAAAATCCCTCATCCTCGTCTCAATAAACCCAACCACCTCACACTGATTAAAAGTGCGCCTCCTCCCCCCTTGACAGGTATTTAGCCCTCCATAAGGCTAACGTTTCATCAAGCCTCTCTAAAATGGGATCACACAGACAACTGGACATACACCTCCCTCCAAAGGGAAGCTCAAGATATTTGGATGGTGAGGATCCACTCTTGCACCCAAGAGTGTCAGCCAACTCCTGCAAGTTATCCACCTGCCCTACTGCCATGATTTCACTTCCCTGCAAATTAATTCTCAATCCTGATACCATCTCAAACCCTACCAGAACTCTTTAAGAACTTCCACTTCCACCCGTTCTTTAGAGTCGTCACAGAGAAACAAAGTACCATCTGCACACTGCAGTAAAGCCACCCCCTGACTTTGCACCTTGCACTCAATTTTCTTGCATTTTCAGATAGAGAGAAAATATATATACTTAAAATAAAACTTTTGGAATCAATAAAATCCCAGTGTGTGTAAAAAAATAAACACATTCTTAGGACAAAGGCCAAACAAGCACTTATTAAGAACTTGAGAAAACTTTAGAATTATCTATAATTCTCACTCTGTGGACAACCAAAGAAATATAATTATTTGTGACTGAATGTTCATCTTAGACACCATCTTAAGTCCAATGAAGTGCGCAATGATTCAGATGTTTTCTCAATAAATTCCATCTATGGGCACCTCTCTGCAGCCAGTCCCCCTCGTTTCCCAGCTCATGTTGTTTATCATTAGTCAATGCCACCAAAGATTTCATTTCCGATGTGGACTGCAGTAGAGGAAATGTCTTACTAGGGACAAATTAATCTTTAAAGGGGTGGATATCCCTTCCACAAGCTGTGTTCTGTGCTCTGGTCCTCTCAAATCAGCATACTTATTTCTACATTGCTGGATTAGCTACAAGATTTGGATCTTCTTCCTTCAGCAACTCATGTCTGTCGGTACTTCCCAATGATGCTTCAGGATGCAATAGCTTGCCGGTCCATCAAAGGCCTTAAGAAAAATGGGAAACCTGCATGGCATGCTCTTCCTTCTGTGATTATTTAGGAGCCTATGCAAGGAACACAATATAAGGATATTCAATAACAAATTTGTTCAAAAGGAAAAGTTGCTAAGAAGGGTTGTTGCTTTGATATTCTCTTGGACTTATATGCTAAAGCCTCCTTCCTTCTGTGATTATTTAGGAGCCTATGCAAGGAACACAATATGAGGATATTCAATAACAAATTTGTTCAAAAGGAAAAGTTGCTAAGAAGGGTTGTTGCTTTGATATTCTCTTGGACTTCTATGCTAAAGCCTCTCAGGGATTTTTTTCCCCTCTTCCTCCGGCTTGAGGGATTCATTTTTTGCTTAGATGAATATCCGGTGCACTTTCTGGTAACTTACGTGTACAGCTCACTGTACTTGGGGCTTATCCAATGTATATTAACAAAATGCATTTCTTTTTCTCAAAAAAGTTCAATTAGGTGTATTTGCAATAAAAAGCATGTTTACCAAATACTTGCATATAAATGAATGGTCCAGCTGCTACAGTGTTTGAGAAAAATTATAGAATTTAACAAGGTTTGATAATTTAACATTCATGCATTTTTTCTACATTTGTTCAAGAATACAAAATATTATGAAAAGTTAACAAAATTCCAAGATATTAAAATTCCATGATTTTTAGGACCCAATACTACAAAATGATCCAATTTTGCCTTCATGTTTAGCTAGGGCATTATTCATTTAGGAATGAAGGTTCTGCCCAAGGTTCAAAGTATTGATACAATACGCTCCATATTGAGCATGTCGTACCATATCTTTGGGTCTCGATACACCTGTTTACAGGTGCTTTTGGGAACCCATTTTTTATTAAATAATATATACTTAAAACTGAATTTTGAAAAAAAAAGAATAAAAAAATAAAAGGCACATCACTTAAGGTACCGATACACAGAGGTAATATCGATACTTTGAACCTCGGTTATGCCTAATCCTTCAGCAACCTAACTTGTTTTCTTCTTTTTACTAGAAATAAATCCAAATTTCAAAAACTCAGTAAGACAATGAATTAAAACATTTAGACAGAATGTATTAAGAAAGATCCGCACACCTCAGGACTTCATTTCAGAATGGAATATTATAGAAGTTAAATGAACTACTACCTATAGTAGACACTGTGAAACCAACCCATGCCCCAAGTTACACAGATGACAAATAAAGGAAACTTCTACAAAAATCAGCAGGCCAAATTTAAAACAAACAAATAAATAAATATTGAAGTGTCATAGGCTTAAAGGCCAGATTTCCCATTCACAGAATCACCACACCACAAAAAATAGAGGTTATGGGCACCATGGAAAAAGGAAATTGTAACTCAATCCTAGAGATACCATCATTCTCTCTTTGCCCTGTACTGCTGTACAATCTGAAACCCACTTATTTTTTTCCTCAAGGTGCAACAAAGATAGCCAGCAAATCAATCATTTCTACTGTGTCGTTTTCTATAACCTTTCTTATATTTACCATCGTCCTAGACACCTTACAATTAGCATTCCCCCCATGAAGCATGGCTGTATCATGCAAAGCAATTCTGATAAACCATTCTTAATATTTGTCAACCACCCCTAACAAGGTTACTGACATAAATTACTTCTATCCCAATGGCTGCCATTATCTGTATACTTTCAGACAATCAGCTCCTTCAGATGCTATTGATGTCTGTACTCTGTTGTTATCAACTCTTATGAACACAATTACTTTGGAGACTCTTGTGGGACTCACAAATCACAATGTACCTCACTAAATTCTAACGAGATTTGACTGACTTGTATAAGCACCATGTATCAATAATTATCTTGCAGAAAAAGTGATCATCAAAGAAAGAAAATTGCTCATGGAAAGCAACTTCAACCCAAAATGCATCAACATTCACTTTTGTCCTTGAAGCATGCTCACTGTACTAGAATATAAACAAGGCATTTAGAAAATAATGTGCAGAACTATGTCAGGCTCAACACACTTAAAAACTATTAAATCCAAAAGTTCCAACTTAGGAAATACCTAAAAAAGCATATGATTCCTCTTCAGAGAAGTTACCAATTGACCATTTGCACAATAATAATTAAGTACGATTGGCTTCATGCTGTGCTTATCTAAAGATACCCTACAAAGCTAAACAACTTTCTGGCTTTGGTCATTCTAGAAAAGAAAATGTAGCTCAACAATGGCATAACATGATCTCCTTTTCACTTTTAACAAAAACAATTGGAGTCTACCCCAAATTCAGGACTGCTGCAATTCAGAATTCAGTCATTCCAAATCAGGATTGCAGAACTTCAAAATAGAGTTACTGCCTCAATGGCTCAACTCTCCAAATTATTATTCATATGAGCAAAGTGACGGAGAACAATTAGACTACTCCCCAACATTAGGTTTCACTAGACATGTCAGTAACCTTCGGAGCAAATTTCAGTATAGATTGTACAAGAACTCATTATGACTTCTAGATACAGCCCTGTTTTTAGTTTCTGGTGCTTCTTTTGCATAAATTAATATCTAACAACAAAAGAAGATGTCAGAGGATCGCAGAACTCGTCTGTTCTCCATCTAACGAAACAAATACAATGACCAACTACTGGATGCGTCAACCAATATCGCCCGCACAAAGTCGTTTTTAGGGCAAAAGACATAGGGACATAAACATAAACCCTACAACTCAGAATCCCAATCACTATCCACGTTGAATCTCGTCCCAGCCCCGCCTATTCAACGTCTCATAACCAAATTTTCAAGCAGAGAACAAATAAAAAAAAAACTAAAACCCCACAATTTCAAAAGGAACGCTACAGTCCCGAATGGCAGAATAACGAAATCATGCCGGCATCCACAAAATCGATAAACGAAAAGAAAACCTAATGCAGAATCACGAACTCCATCCCACTACATCGCACAAGAGCCCCAAGCAAAGCGCCATACACGGTCCACAAGATCTATAAACCCCCCCCCCCCAATAATCATCAAAAGAACCAGAGATCATATACCAAAAACCATAAAACTTCATCCCAGCCGACTCCGCAAACCTCCAATGGCCGAAACACCAAAATCCCCAAAGGGATCTACCAACGACATCCAAAGACAAAATCCAAAATCAAACAGACACAAACGAAGACATCGTAGTCCAACACGAATCCACCACCAAAACACAAGAAACCGCGAAACCCATTCGGCCGCGAGATTAAGACACAATTGAGGAAGAAGAAGAATTAAGAAACTAACCTGGGGAAGAGAATCCGATTGCGCGGTCCTTCTTCAACGGCGATCTGGAACCGAACCTTGAAGAGGATAAAGATTGCGAGGCTGGAATCGAAAGAAGAGGAAATTAGGGTTTTGGGTTGCAAGATTACGAAGAAAAAGAAATAACAGGAGGGCGTTGGGAGGGTTTGTATTGTATCGCTATCGTAGCTGTCTCTTCTCGCTCGCTCGCTCTCTCTCTCTCTCTCTCTCTCGTTCTATGTTTCTTCTTTTTTTCTTATTTTTCGATTTTATTTTTAATTTTAACAATTATTTTTTTCGCTGTCTCTCTCTGTCTCTGTGCGTGAAAGAAACATTTGTAGCGAATTAAATGGAAATTTGGGGTCCGTCTGTTTACCTAATTAGGGATCGGCCCTTGGGATTCCGCACCGAATGGGAAAGTCGCCAACTAATGACTGTTAAAATCCCCGGAATTTCGAATTCCTGGGCACCACCACACTGTGCAGGGGCGAGGAATCAGAAATGCAAATCTCTTTTTTTTTTTTTCCCCTTTCTTCTTCTCCTTCCAAACTCTAATCAAATAAGATAAACCCTAATCTGAGGGACCTAAAAAGGACAAAACCTCGGTTTGTTTATTTTTCTGAGATGGTGGAGTGTTTGGTGATTGTATTGTATATAAAGGTCATTTTGGCAAATGGATGTGGGTTCCTGGTGTGGGAATTACAAAAGTACCCATGGAAGTAGAATGGAACATGAGCTGGGTACCACTCCCATATTGATGTTCTGTTGCCAGGCCAATATTTGATTCTCTGGTGGTCATCATTCTAAGCTGTCAGGTTGTCTATCTAGGGTAATTATGTTGGTGGAGGGTATTTTGGTCACTAGATGTGGATGAATGGGATATGAAATTACTATTGTCCCATGGACTTGATTCTAATGGGTCCCACTATTTGATTGAAAAGGTTATTTTAGCAACAGTGTGTGACAGTGATATTGTGATAGTAATGGTAATAAATAATAATGATGCAAAGCTTTAAAGGTGTTATTGTGGTAGGAATAAGTATTAAGTGATAAAAGTGTTAAAAAAAGGAAGGAGGAATCAACTTATCATGGATAGTAAGTAGGTGAATAAATTTGATTGGGGATGGATAATTGGATTTATGGGCCCATCATGCATATCAATTTTTTCAAGTTCGTGGAAACATTAAATAAGAGAAATCAGAAAATCTCTATAGGTTTAGGGGGTTGTTAGACAACATGGTTGGTTTTGTTTTTAAAAATAAAAATAAAATTGTATTGTTTTTGTTGAGTCTAGATTTGTTCTTCATATAGTGCTCCTTATACTGACCTTATAGCATGTCCCAGCTTGCAATCAAACCTTGGGAACACTCTTGTACTTGTATGTTATTATTCATGGGGAGATTTCCCAATACATGGTGGGATGTGGTTATGAGGCCAGTGTGAGGAAACAAACAAATCCCAATTTTGGTTTCAAAATAAAACCAACCATAGTGTCGGACACCCCCTTAAGTAATAGAATCTCTCTTAGTATATATACTATGAAATTAATAAAGGGAAATTGTCTAAAATTCATCATGAGTTTTCAGCATTTCTCTTAAACTCACCACAACTTTTCAAAACGTCTAAAACTTACCATGTTAGTAAGTCTTTATTTTCCAAAACTCACCTTCCGTTACTGCACCATTAATGCTTCTTAGCGGAGGTGTCCACGTCAGCATAAATAACAATTTTTATGACCAAATCACCCATGGTGAGTTAGAGGAAAATGGTCTTTTTCATTTTTCAATTTTCTTTTTCTTTAACATTTTAGTGTTTTGTTATAATTTCTAATGTTTTTTATAATTTCTGTTTTTTTACATTTTCTATTTTCTACAATCTATAAAATTTCCTGTATTTTTTTGTTATTTATTTTCAAATTTTATGTTTTTCTATAATTTTTGGTGTTTTTTCTACAATTTTTATTTTTTGATTTAGTTTTTCAATTTCTGTAGTTTCTATAATTTGAAAATAATTTTTTATTTTGTGTGCAATTTCTATACTTTTTTATATTTTTTGCAATTTTTGTGTTTTTATGTATTTTATATTTGAAAATACTTTTTGAACTCTTTCCTTTTTTTCATATCTAAATATTAAAATATATGTATATATTTTATATTTTTCTATGAAGGTTAAAATAGTACTATATTAACAGCTGTTAGTCTCTTTAACGTCAAATTAGTGGCATGGTGAGTTTTAGACATTTTGAAAAGTTGTGGTGAGTTTAAGAGAAATGCTGAAAACTCATGGTGAGTTTTTGACAATTTCCCATTAATAAATTAAAAATGTGTTATAATGTTTATCCGTTTTTAAGGTTGTTGAAATGACAAACACTAAGAATGGAAAAATCTTGTATTGATTACAAGTATGAAAACACAAGTTTGAATTTGAGAGTAGTCACTTTCGCTCCATTTGCTTTTTAGTAAGTTACTTACCCGAGTAAGTGCATTTACTTATGTTTTTTTATTTCCCAAGTAAATAAATCAATGACAATTTTAACCATAAAATTCCACTATTAAAAGGGCATTTTATTTCTCTGGTCCCCACATAAATATGAAAAAAGAACATAGGTTTCTTAGTCAATGGGATTGTGAATCCCACTGACCAACTTTCCCCCTCTCAAAATCCAAAAACCAAATGTCCCCTTTGTGCAAGAAAATGAAGGTTAAGTCATATCTAGGCAATGGTCCTTTACTAGTTCAAGTAGATTCTCACATCATGTCATATAAATAGAAAAAAAATAACACTGTGATCAAAATATCTTTCTAAGGCCTTAATACCACATTATAATGTGTTTTCATCTATGATCAAACTATTAATATGTTTTAGGAGCAATAATATGATATTTATGCAATAAAGGCTGCACTTGATTGCAATTCAAATCTGAATCATGCACAAATTTTGCACCCAATTCAACTTTGCGTCTATTTGTTTGTTACTATGCTTTGCACTCCTACTTGATACAAAATTTGTACCTTTTTGCCTCATTTGTACTCACTAGTATTGTAAATTTTGCATCTTAGAAACTGATGCAAAACTTGCAGCACCTTCCTCCTACCTTCTCTCTCATATAAAGTGGGGACCACATCATCTTGTTTCTTATCTCACTCTAAAACAAATAACCCTCCTTCTATCTCATTACTCCTTCATATAAGGTGGAACCACATCATTTTACTTTCTATTTTGTTTTTCACAAACAAATAAGACAAAGTCAAATATGAAACAAAAATAAACCAGATCAACTTATTTGCAATCCCATGCATTTACACCAATGCAAATGAATACATCAACCAAGCGTAGTCAAATGGCTTTTCTTATGAAAGTTCATATGAGCAAATTTCAAGAATATATATAATTTAGATCATGTCAAGATATACTAAAAGAGGAATTTTCATAAGGCTCAGTTTGGAAGGAGTACAAATACAAATTTGTAAAGTACAAAACCATGTATTTTGTATTATTTTGCATGTATTTAGGCTCAGTTTGAAAAGAGTACAAATACAAATATGTACAGTACAAATAGGTGCAAAATAATACAAAATACCAGGTTTTTCATTCTACATATATATTTGCATTTGTACTCTTCCCAAACTGAGCCTTTCAGTTTGGTAAGAGTATAAATGCAAATATGTACAATGCAAATACATACAAAATAATACAAAATATAAGGTTTGCACTTTATATATTTGTATTTATACTCCTTCTAAACTGAGCATAAAGGGAAAATCTATGCTACCCGAAAGATATGATACTAAAAGAGCACCCCCTGTTGGTTACAACTTTTATGATTCTAGTTGATTAGTTAAAAGCTTTTTTTTTGGCATCATAGTTGAACCCTTTTATAGAAGCCAATATGTTGGTAACATGTTGCATAAGCAATAGAGCCAGTTACTAGCGACATGTTCCCTTGTAATTTTTTAAAATTATTAAAAATCCTAGTGGAACTAAGTTTTATAATGCATTTGAGGTATTTGTTTTAATCAATTATAAGCATTATTGATTTTCATTAACTGAAATAAGCAAGTAAACATAATAGCTAAGAAAAAAATACTACCATAATTATCTATTCAAATTAGGTGCCCAAGTCATGCATGTTGGGTTAGATTGTTTGGAGTTAGGTTTCGGGTTGGGATTTCCTTTTCTTTAAAAAAAAAATATCCTCACTCCTTAGGCTTAGAAGTAGCCAATCAATGTTAACTAGTTTAGACATTATTATATATACAATGTTCAAATTATCATAATGTATCATATGATACATATCAATTTTTGAACAATGTTCTAGGTGTGGAAACCATGTAGTCTAATGGGCATTCTCTGAAACTTAGTTAAAAACATAGGGTTCATTTGATTTACGGGAATAGGGGTTTAGAATCAGAATGACCCATTCAGATTCTAATTGTTTGGTTGGGTGGAATCAGAATCACATTTCCACTCTTAGTGGAATGACATTCCCCCATTTGAGGGAATGGCCATTCCCTCCACCTCCCTTGGGAATGAGAATCCATTAATTCCAGCAATTTCTGATTTCGATTCGATTCTAGTCTAAACCAAACGGACCCATAGAATATTGATGCTTTGAATCACTTGATACATGAAAAATCAGTATGGAGGATATCAATACTTTGAACCTTATGTGTATAAAGGGAGACAAAGTTATAGTGCTACTTTAGGCTCCATTTGGAAGGAGTACAAATACAAATATATAGAGTGCAAAACCTTATATTTTGTATGTATTTGTACTGTATATATTTGTATAATACTTACATTACAATAAAATATTTGTATTTTAAACTTAAAATTGTTGATAACTATACAAACATACATGCATGGTGCATGCATATATACACAAACAAGACAGGTCAAGTTCAAGTACCTAAAGCCTTAACATTGGAGCCACTTTTGTGAATAGAACCCATTATACTCTTTTCTAGAAACAAGTTGTATGATTGTTAGAACAACTTTGAGCCCACCTAATTGGTGTCACTTACAATGGCATTAAGTTGTTCTTCATATTAATGAAACTTTGGTTCATTTAAACTTTTGATAAAGACATTCAAACTTCCACATTTAGGTGCCGTGAGAATCCTACATGCTTATAAAAATATTTTAAATGTTTAAAAATATGGAAATTCAAATAATTAAAATCATTTCAAGATTTTTAAAGTTAAGGAAAACACACCTTTTACTTCTCTTTTTTTTTATTTACTTG